GAGCCAAAACGAACGAAATCGGGAAACCTGCGAATTTGGGCGCCACTACCTATGGCGCCAGAAACAGAATGTAAAATAGTGGAGCGCCGCGGAGGGCGCCTGGCGCTAGCTAGGGCGCCGGTGACGTTAATTTTCTCCAATTTCGCCCGGGACAAGGTTATTTCGGCCCTAGACCTACCCAACACGTATAAAACCAAGACTAAACCTATTTTTGAGGGGGGAGGACGCCACTTTAGAGAGATCTAACATACTTTGAAGGGGAATTCACGTGGGGGAACACACACCACACTTGGAGGAGGCTTCTAACTAGTTTTTCTTCTCTTGTCTTCCTTTAATTTCATAGTTTCTTTGTTCTAGAGTTTTGGGTGCTACATGAACGTTGTAGTTTGAAGCTTGAATTGTTCTTATTATTTTATCATATTGGTTTATTTATTCAATCTTGCGCTTAATTATTTGATTGCTTGATCACCAATTGAATACTATCTACGAATCTAGGATTGAACTCGGGAGAGAAAATTCTAGATTGCATATAAGATTGAGTAGAGCAAGATCTTAACTCTTAGGGGGAGCAGATTTGCTGTTAGGATAGGAATATACCTAATCGCCTTGCTTGGTTATTATACGGGAATTATAAATGCGTTCTTGTTAATCCTAATTCTATAGGAATATATGCGTTAGGTTAGCTTGAATAGGCGAGTTGTACTTCGGGAGAAGGCTACGAGCAATATTAACCCCATCAATCAATAAACTAGATAAATTAATTAGATAATTTAGGTAGAAAACTCAACGGGATTGTTAGCCAACCCATAGCTCTAGAATATTCACTCACATTGAATTCGTCTTTAAGCTTGTCGTTGTGTTCTTTAATCTCTTAATTTGTTACTCTAGATTAGCTTTAGTTAAATATTCGTACTTTAGAATTCGCTTGGATAGTTTAATTATTTGGGTTTAATTTAAGTTATAGTTAATCACAAGTCCCTGTGGGTACGATATCTGGACTTACAATCCTATATTACTTGTCGACCACGTATACTTGCATGTGCGTTTGGGAGCAACAGCTGTCCTGAGGGTATGAAACTCCGGATCACACATTGTTGTGCTATGTTGAGGTGACGCACACGCTAGATGACGAGTGTGGGGTCGTGCACCGTTGGGGATTGTGACTTGGTCCGTCCCGAATGACTGTTTTACTGCGTATTTGATTGCAAATTGTTTGATGTTATCATGTTTTGGGCTAAATGCCATATTTGGGATTCGTGCCAACTATTTGGACCCTTACGGAATTTTTATTGCCATTTCCTCACTGTTTTGACTTTATACTTGTACTCAGTCATGCTACATTTTATTGTTTTCATAACTCAGCCATGTTTACTTTGTTTTCAACACCTTAAATGATATTTTAAAAGATATTTTGAGCTGAGCATCATGTTTTACTGTTGCCCGAGTGACTTATGAGATTCTGATTGAGCAAGGCCGAGGGCCTGTGTTGTGAGGATACTTTCGGGTCGGGCTGCACGCTGCAGCGGTGGTATATTGATTATGATTATGAGGCCGAGGGCCTGAGATTTGTACGCCACGAGGTGGCTTGTTGATATGAGGCCGAAAGCCTATTGATTATGCCACGAGATGGCTTGTTATTGCGCTTGGCCGTAAGGGGACCCTCCCGGAGTCTGTACACCCCCAGTGAGCGCGGGTACCCATTGTGATATGAGATATAGCTCGAGGGGCTGGTATTGTTCTATGTTACTGCCCGAGGGACTGATTATGTTGTTATTGTGCCCGAGGGGCGGTTTTTATGTGGTTACCTTTTCTAGCTGCCTTTCATCTATTTGCTTAACTGCTTAAAGGGTGCTTTATGAGATTACACTGTTTAATTGTATTTTACTGACTTTACTTTGCCTCTTTATAGGATATTGTTGTGTTTAACGTGATTTCTTGTCGCTCAGTCTTCATTTATTGTTATTACTCACTGAGTTGGAGTACTCACTTTACTCCCTGCATCCTGTGTGCAGATTCGGGCGCTACAAGTCTTGCTAGCGAGGGTTGATAGCTTCCAGCAGATTTTCGGAGTCCACTAGGTAGCTGCTCGGTGTTCGCGGCCTAGTGTTTTCTCCCTCTTATCATTATTCATGTTCCTAGTTCTGGATTTTGTAATAGACTGTGTAGTCCTTATTCCATATTTCGAGACTAATGTTAGATGCTCATGACTGGTGACACCCCGATGTCGGGCTGTGTTGGTCGTTTTTCCGCAAATTGTGCTATTTCACTTATATTTTGGGATTATTAGCATGTTAATGACTTAAATTGTATTATTATAATTGTTTAATATGAATTGGGAGTTGTGTCGGCTGGCCTTGTCTTCACGAGAGGCGCCATCACGACCGGGTCTGGGTTTAGGGTCGTGACACCAAAGTACAAAAGTATTGGAATTAGTAACCTTATGGTTTACAATAGAATGTGCTTCAATTGCACTAATTCTTGTCCAATACAGGCCACAAGATAAAGATGGGAATTTCTCAATTACCCTTTTCTGTCCAGAGACATTATTGGTAATAATGAGATATTCAAAATTATTCTCATCTATTGTCTCAATATGATATGCATTTCGGCGGATATCTTTAAAACTCAACAAGTTCCTCTTGGACTTGGAGGAGAACATTGCATTCTCTATGATAAGTATTGTTCCCTTAGGCAGAGTTATAGTAGTTCTTTCAGCGCCTTCAATTAAATTACTACTACCAAAAATTGTAGTAACATCTGCCTTACACATACTTAAATGAGAGTAATATTTCTTCTCTTTGAATATTGTATGTATCGTACATGAATCAATTAAACAAATATTTTTACAATTGAACTGTGATCCAAATTTGCTTTATAGGATATCCATGTTTGCTTCCAAAACGAAAAGATATTTGAATCATATTAGCGTGTTACGATAAATAACGAATTATTCAATGGTTAAGTAACAAAAAGATTTCCTAGATTAAATATATTAAACAAATGGTTATACATGTAACCTCTTAATTGATATCCTCCTTGAAGAAAAGGTCAATGATGCTTTATCATATTACTAGGCTTACAAACAATTTGCTTGAACACAAATATTAGAAGTGCAGCATATATTTCCGAACTGCTATTGGTACTAATTTTCTGTTTTAAGCAGAATAAGATAATACTAGCATTTAAGTATACTCCTTTTGGATGAAGAACATAAACAATTTAATTTGGTACTACTAGTAAATATTGAAAAAATTGGATGGTAGTGACCAAACTGTTATTTTAGTGAAAGAGATACATTTAAAACAATTGTACATGTTGCCATACTTTAGTCAAATACGTATGTGTAACAGAAAAAGACAAGCTACATACGTTTGTTTATGTTGTTTAAGTTTTCATCCTCACGTATAGATAATGTCAAAATAATCACTTGACTATCCCGGAAAACCAAGCAACTTTAACATTATCTCATAAAACAAATAATACTAATTGATACTAATGACTGCTACTCATGTAAAGAGTTGTGATTATATGATGTTTATTCGCTAGCTATTATGTATAGGAAAAATGAAAATCAAACTACTCAATCATCTTTAACCACAGATCCATCACCAATCAAGTGGTCTATTTTTCCATTAGGGTGCTCAAAGAAGTCTGCCACATCCAAGTGGGTGATGTCAAATTCATTGTCATAGACAAAGTTAGCTTCAGGGCATTTATTCTTTAGAGATGCTTGATAAAGCTCAACCAAATGTCTTGGTACACGACAAATATTTGCCCAATGCCCTTTTCCACCGCAACGATAATATTCAGTTTCTGAACCATTTGCCTTTGGCTTCTCATCTTTCCCTTTCCACTTTTGGTGGTTATTTTTCTTTGGGGGGTGATTAACACCAGGAGAATCTCTTCCTTGTCTACGGCCACGACTACGACCACGAATAGGGCCACGGCCTTTTCCACGCTTAGCATAATGGGTATACACCTCATCCACTTCAGGCAATGGTGTAGACCTAGTGGGTCGATTTTCGTGATTTCTCACGAGCAAGTCATTGTTTCGTTCAGCCACAAGGAAAAGAGAAATCAACTCAGAGTACTTCTTGAAACCTTTCTCTCTGTACTGCTGTTGCAGGACCATATTGGAGGCATGAAACGTTGTAAACGTTTTTTCAAGCATATCATAATCAGTGATAGTATCTCCATAGAGTTTCAATTTAGAAGTAATTTCGAACATCGCAGAATTATATTCAGAAACAGACTTAAAGTCTTGGAGCCTCTAATGAGCCTAATCATATCGTGCTTGTGGAAGAGTGACCAACTTTAAGTTGTCATATCTTTCCTTTAAGCCATTCCACAAAATAAGTGGATCTTTGACTGTGAGATATTCTATTTTCAACCCTTCATCAAGGTGATGATGCAAGAAAATCAAGGCCTTAGCACAGTCTTGGGTGGATGCTTAATTTTTGTCTTTAATGGCGTGTCCAAGACCCATTGCATCTAAATGGATTTCAGCACCAACACCCATGTCATATAGTTCTTGCCCGAAATTTCAAGGGCAACGAAATTTCTTTTCATAATGTCAGTCATATAAAAATAGGAGAAAAGTTATACCTTAATCTTCTCAAAGAGCTTCTTGAGACGGTAGAGTCTCGTGCTGATAATGTGTAATAAAACAATAAAAGTAGAAGAACAATATTGCAGAGAAAGAGAGGGTAATTCTTATTGAATTTTGGGATGATTTACAATGGAATAGAACCCTCTATTTATAGGAAAAAAATGACTTAGTCGCAAAGTAAAACTCTCTAAAAGATAGACATTCACTCTAATTACAATTCTATTCGTAACAGTTGTAATTCTGTCTTGTAAAATAACAATTTAACATTTACTCAAGTTATTGGCATATGGCTGTAATGTAATGTGGTTAAAACCCATAAAGAAAAAACTAAAAGGAGTAAGAAAAGGAAAAAAATAAAAATAGAAACAAGTATGTGGAGATGTAATTGCAATAAATCATGAATTTTATTGGTAACATCATTTCGTGGAAAAATTGAAAACAATCATTTAGTATCATCTCTATTCTAGCCAAGTTATTGATACAAGAAAAACAAACAAGAACTTGGCTTAGTTACATTATTATTATGAAGAATCAATAAAGAATGATGTAAAATAAAGAAAAGGCGCTAGTAATAATTGGCATAATCTTTCTTTTGTCCTCTTATGATTCTTCCAAGAACCCATTCTTCTATCTGTATCAAAAAATAAAAGAAAAGTGGTTATTTCACAAAATAAATAATTTGATAATACAATAAAGAGAAATGCAAGATATCTTCATTCTAGTTTGGAGATATTACAGTCACTCTCAAATTTAACAAAGAAACCAAATACAAATCCACCTAATTATTCTAATAAGCTTCCCAATAATGTTTATTAATTGTGAATGTACGTATATGCAAAAGCTAATTAATAATTTTCAACAATATAATTGATAGCATTTCAACCATAACAACAACAACAACAACCCAGAATTCCACAAGTGGGTCTGGAGAGGGTAGAGTGTAAAGAGACTGTTTTTGAAAGACCCTCAGCTCAAAAAGACAGAAAATAGACAATAGATCAGTGCAGCAACAAAAGCCAGAAAAATAATATATTGTAAGAGACAGAAAATAAATGAAAAGGCAATAATAATAACCAGTAATAATTCCATAACCCTACATAAACCACTAACAATCCAAGGCGAACATTATCATCCTAGCCTAGCCCGCCCTCGGTACAAAGTAGAAAAACGCTTGCCTCCCTCCTAACCTACAACCCTAATGCTCGGCCCCCACACCTTCCTATCAAGAGCCATGTCCTCGAAAATCTGAAGTCGCGTCATGTCCTGCCTGATCATCCTACCTCAATACTTCTTAGGCTACCCTCGGCCTCTCCTCGTACCTGCCAATGTCAACCGCTCACATCTCTTAACCGGGGCATCTAGGCTTCTCCTCCGCGCGTGTCCGAACCATCTAAGTTTCGCTTCACGCATCTTGTCATCCATGGGAGCCGCGCCCACCTTCTCCCGAATATCCTCATTCCTAATCTTATCCAACCTAGTGTGCCCGCACATCCATTTCAATTTTCAACTACTTTCCCATAAATGATAAATTACAATATGGACTTTATTTGGAAAAGCTAAAAATCATTTATGAAGTATGAACAATTCCGCAATGTGGAAACTATAAGGTTCAAAAATATTTATCATTCGATTTATCCTAAAAAATGAAAACAATTTTAAAGTTTCGTTTAATTTAAAGAAGAATGAAATTAAATCTGTTAGAGGTGAAAAGTAAGAAAATGCAAAGAAATTAATATACTAGTTACCTCTTCGTCATCAATGGCACATTCAAAACTTAGACGATATTTTTCCATTATCCAAGTATTTTTCTTAGCCGATCTAGAACAATACTTGAAATTAATTTTGAACCCAACCACATCTCCTTCTGAATTATAAATTGGAAATTCTTTTCCGAAGCATTGCCAAAAACCTATTTCATTTCCAACAATCTGAAATTTTCCAATTTTTCCTCTAAAATACTCATCTTGATGTATGAAGAAGTACCATTCTCCTGCACTGCACATATTTTCCACTGTAAAAAAAGTAAAAAAATAAAACTTCAACGACAAAGTTTAATTTTCCATACACAAATTCGTATTGAAAATTAAATAGAAAGCTCAATTTAATTATATTGTCCTATTTGAATCACATTATTTGTTTGTAGTTTGTGAACCTTTTTATTTTGATCTGAAATACTTTTCTTCCGCGACGTGACTTATTCTTTCCTTGAAATGTTGTGTTTAATGGTTATACTAAATATAACAAAATTTAATAACTGTTTAATTTGATTACAGTTAAACCTCTTTATAAGAGCTTCATTATTTGTTCCGATATTTTTTGGCTGTTATAGAGAAGTGTTGTTATAGAAGACATATATTAACACATAACGTATAAAAATTGGTTCCAAAAAAAAAACTTGAGTTTATAGAGAATGATTGTTATATAGGAATGTCGTTAAAGAGAAGTCTGATTGTATAAGAAAAGGTATACAAGCTCATCATCTACATAAGAAAAGGACATTTTCAATAATACATTGTTTAAAGACAAAAATAATTTTTTTTTAAAAAAGAATGAATATAATTACCAAGAGCTTCAGGAGATTTGTTGTAAAATTCCTTAGCATGGATGTCTTCAATGAATAGAGCTGGAAAAGGTTGATAATGAACCTTATTTTCAAGGTAATATTTAATCAATTCCTCATCAGTGGGCACAAATCTGTAGCCAGGGGGAAATTCTGTGATCAAATCATCATTTTCAGTTGCCATTACAATGTGAAAATTTAATGAAAATTTATTTTGTTCTTGTCTGCGTTGAAGAATTGTCCACTTTTATAGTTAACAAAAAAGAAAGGGAAGGAGCATTTGGAGTTCTATGACTACTTAGAGTTCTATCAACGTCATTCACTGATAATAAAAACATTAATTGACCTTTTCAAATTCTATATAAAGAGTGTGTGCTTATCTTGGATGAAAGGAAAACACTAGGAGGAGAATTTTTTTTATTCCTTTTTTTTAGAGTTTGGTAAAAACTTAGCAATATTGGGTGTTTACTTGCATCATGGTCTTATTTTTGGGAGAAATTCAAAAATAGCCAGATTTACAAGTGGTTGTTCAAAAATAGTCCAGTTTCAAAAGTAATCGAAATTTAGCCACTTTTCATGTAAAGATAAATCTGAGCGAAAACGCTGTTCAACACCCGAAAAATACGCCGGTATATTATGATGGAGTTCCAACATAAGTATACTTAAACTCCAGCATATTATACTGGAGTTCCAGGATAAGTATGCTGGAACTCCAGCATAATATGATGGAGTTCCGGCATAAGTACACTAGAACTTCAGCATAATATACTGGAGTTCCAACAAAGTATACCGGTCCAGTATAATATGCTGGAAGTTCATACACAAGTGCTCGAATCTCCAGTATATTATGCTGGAACTTTCCGTGTGTTGGAGTTCCAGCATAATATGCTAGAAGTTCATACACAGTTGCACCGAACTCCAGTATATTATGTTGGACCGGTCTCTGTTGCAGCAAAATAGTGGCTATTTTTTATTGACTTGGTAAACGCTGGCTATTTTTGAATGACCAATCCGAAAACTGGCTAGACCGTGCTATTTTTACCTTATTTTTGGGTGGAGTCATTTTCATTGCAACTAGTTTAACTTTTAACTTTCATATTACTTGCTTCAACTAACACTTAGACATAATTATTAATCTTTAGTAATCAAGAGTTTCATCAAAACAGTGCCAATTTACTTATATTATTATTATTCTTTAATATATACTATCTCCGGTCTATAATAAGTGGCTTTTTGGTCTTTTTATTTTGGTCCAAAATAAGTGTCCTTCTATATAATCAAGAAGAAATTAACTTTATTTATCCAAAATTTTTCCTTATGTACATATCTCAATGTGTCAAGTTAACAATATGCAGATTTTAATTAAGGGTAATTTAATTAAAATACCTTTCTTTGTCTAGGAGTTAGTATTTTCTTAAAGGGTGTGTCTGTATTGGGAAAAAAGTTGAATTTATATTGAAGATGACGTGGCATGACACGTGGACTGGACAAGTGGTCAAAGCGTAACAGTTGGGAAAAAGGTACGGGAAATGACAGGTACGGGAAGAAGAAATGAAATAGGCACGAGAAGCAGTTTAGACACGAGTCTCGTACCAATTCGAAGTCATTTAAAGCCAGCGGGTCGAAAGGCATTGAAGACATGAATCTGAAGACAAAAAGGAGTCCAAGTTCAGTATTAAATACCTGATACGTTAGAAAATTGGTATTTAATAGGTATGATTGTGTAACAGTTCATTTAATATCATTTATTGTCCATAATTATCTCATTAAAGCTTAGATTTATTTCCTTTACCTAGAATCAACTATAAAAGGAGGAAATTGTATTGGAAAAAGGACATGACTTACCTCATACTGAAATAAGAACTTTTGCTTACTGCTTTATTATTATTCTCAGAAAGCCTATTATTATTTTGGTGTCTTGATTATCAGTAACCCGATTTTTCATCTCAAATTCTAATATTATCCAAAAATTTATTTCTTTGGCGAAACAAATTGGTTCCGTTACCGGGAATCTGATAATCTATTTTTTTAAGTTACATTTTATCTGTTGTTATCATCATGTCACATGACAATAATAACAGTGAAAACACCTTGGGGAACCGTGACAATCAAATGCATCAAGATCAAGGAGATTTGCAGAACTTTAACGCGGTTCCTGCCCTTCAAAATTCACCACGTCAATCTCGTGAAGGCACTCCTAAATCACATTCTGATGAGCAGGAGCAATCAGAACATTTTGAGGGACCAGAAGAAGCTCTGCAAAGAATAATTGATGCACGGGTTAACCAAGCTCTTCAAGCGCTAGTTAACCGGTTACCTGCTGCGCCGTCCACACCTTCGCCTAATAACAATACGCT